TTCTAACTCGTGTCTAGCATTATAGTCCATTTTTAGCTCCCCTGTTGGCAGAGCCTTACGTGAAGTTAGTTAGCAATGCACAAATGTGTTTGGCAAAACCCCAGCATTAAAAAACAACATGGAGTGGAGGGAGGGTTTGGAGCTGAAGGACAGAACTTAATAACTGCCACATTTATTCCACAAGAGTGCTAAGAAATATGGTATTTGTCAATTTGTTGTACTGTGGTGGCTTCCGTTTCGCTGTGATGCTGGAAGCCACCAGTGTTCTAAATCCAGCAGGTTCACCCATGGTGGAAAGGTTTCAGCTGAGTTTCAGCTCTCCTTCTTCCTAAAGTCAAATTAGGAAGAAGGAGAGGCAGATTGCTTCTGAATGTTTAGCCATCAAAAACCTTATGAATTGCAGTGGAACATTGTCAGATAGCACCAGAATATTGAATATGGAAATTTTATGAATGACACTTGAATAATTGTCAGATACAGTTCCAGAAGATGAACCCTTCAGGTTGAAAGGTGCTCACAGTATGACTGGGGAAGAGTTGCCTTCTCAAACTAGAGTTGAACATAATGATGTAAATGGAGAAAAGCTTTTGGGACCTTCATTTTCTGATGGGTCACAACTCAGAATGAAAGAAACAGCTGCAAACATCCATTAGTTACTGAAACATGGAATGTATGACATATGAATCTAGGAAAATTGAAGTCAGAAATGAAATGGAATGCATAAACATTGATATCCTAGGCTTATGTGAGCTGAAATGGACTGGTAATGGCGATTTTGAATCTGACAATCAAATGATTTAATATGCCAGGAATGACAAATTGAAGAGGTATGGCATCGCATTCATTATCAAAAAGAACTTTTCAAGATCTAACTGGAAGTGTAATGCTGTTTGTGATAGAATAATATCCATACGCCTACTGGAAGACCAGTTAATATCACTATTATTCAAATTTATGTAACAACCACTAAACTCAGCGATAATGAAATTGAAGAATTCCACAAACTTCGTTAGTCTAATATTGATCAGACATGCAGTCAAGATGTAGTGATAATTACTGGTGATAGGAATGCAAAGGTTGGAAACAAAGACAAAGGATCAGTAGTTGGAAAATATGGCCTTGGTGATAGAAACGATGCTGGAGATTGCATGATAGAATTTTTCAAGATGAACGACTTGTTTATTGCAAATACCTTTTTTAAAAAAAACACCATGAAAGATGACTATATACCTGGACCTCACCAGATGTAATTGTATTATAGAAATCAATTAGACTCCGTCTGTGGAGAGAGACAGTGGAAAGCTCCGTGTATCAGTCAAAACAAGGTCAGGGGCGGACTGTAGACCTGACCATCAGTTGCTAATATGCCAGCTGAAGCTGAAGATAATTAAACCAAGTCCTTGAGTTGCTAATATGCCAGCCAGCTGAAGCTGAAGATAATTAAACCAAGTCCTTGAGAGCCAAAGTTCGACCTTGGACATATCTCACCTGAATTTAGTGATCATCTGAAGAACAGATTTGATGCATTAGACACTGAAGATCAGAGACCAGAAGAGTTGTGGGATGAATTCAAGAACATCATACAGAAAGAAAGTAAAAAGTCATTAAGAAGACCAGAAGGAAGAAAAAGACCAAAATGGATGTAAGAAGAGGCTCTGAAACTTGTTTTCCAATGTAGATGCTAAAGCAAGTGGAAAAAATGAGGAAGTAAAAGAGTTAAACAGAAAATTTCAAAGGGCAACTTGAGAAATTAAAGTTAGGTATTATCATGAAATGTGCAGCAAAGACTTGGAGTTAAAAAAATCAAAGGGTAAGAACAAACTTAGCATTTCTGAAGCTAAAAGAAATAAAGAAAAACATTCAAGCCTTCACTTGGAATATTGAAGGATTCTGTGGGCAAAATATTGAATGATACAGAAAGCATCACGATGATGGAAGGAATACACATTTTTTTTTTCTTTTGTTGATTGTGATTTTTCATGAAATAATAAATCTTAGCCTAACCAAATTTTGCAGTTTCTTTTATGATTTCTTCTAGAAGATTCATAAGTTTAGTTTTTATGTTTAGGTCCATGATCCATTTTTAAA